GGATGGCACCGGGTGGCCCTGGCTGCAGCGGGGGGAACGATGGCGGCAGAGCCCGGCACCAAACGGCTTCTCTTGGTTCTTCCCCCCTGCTTCTTCCCCCCACTCCTCTTCCTTGGCATGACCCCAGTTGAGGCGGTATCCCCCCGAGATTGGGGTGCTGTGACCGACTGAGATTCACTGTGTCCCCTCCCGGGGATGGGGACCCCCGTGGTGGCGGGGTAGACAGAGGGTGACTTTTAACAGGGTGACAGAGTTGGTGGCAGCATGAAGGATATGGCTGCATGGGTGAGAGCAAGCCCTATGGGACCACCTGCTGGGCCATCAGTAGGTTCCAGAGTTAACAGCTTCTGAGCGGTGGGTTGCCGTGCCATCACAGGCTGCCTATGGACTCAGGGAGATGCTGCTGTGTTTCCCGAGGAGGAGAGGACCCCCAGGACCCCTGTCCCGGCGGCAGAGGACAGGAATCCATGGGGACACCCCTCCTTCCCCCGATGGCTCTGGGACTCCGCAGCTGCTCGGCGGTGCCTCCCTGCCCGGCACCAGCCAATTAAGAGCCCATTCTTGTGGGTTATAATTAGGAGCATCTTCTCCCCGGTGCATCGCTTTTGCATTTCACTTGGGATTTTACCTGCCGGCTTGTCACTGTCACCCAGCGCCGCGCGATCTCCCTACAAGGCACCGGTGTAGATTTGATTACCCAAATAATTCTGCAGCGGCAGCGGGCTCCAGCCGCGGAGCTTCTTTGCCAGGCGGTTACGGCACCTCCAGCTCTGCCGGCACTTCCCGGCCTTGTCCTCTGGCACTGAGGAAATATTTATCGGGGGGAGCATCCTGCCCCGCAGGGGGTTGGGATCCGGGTGAGCAGCGAGGCTTGTTTTTGGGGGATTTGAGCTCAGACGGCTCAGCCCTCGCCACACGTTCGTGGTCCCCGTGAAGCTCGTGGGAAGATGTGCGGGGATGCGGCCAGTTCATCAAGTTGGTTCGGGGCTGGGTCCCGTGTCCGAGATGTGGTCCTGCATCTGAATCCGGAGCGAGGGTCCTGGGTCTGAGCCATGGTCCTGCATCCGAATCCAGACTCGGCATCCCATGTCTGAGCTGTGGTCCCACATCCAAATCCAGAGATGAGGTCCCATATCTGAGCCTGCATCCGAACCCGGAGTCGGGGTCCCATGTTGGAGCTGTGGTCCCACATCCGAATCTGGAGATGGGGTCCTGTGTCTGAGCTGGGGTCCCGTGTCTGAATCTGGAGCCGTGGTTCCATGTCCGTGCCATGGTCCCACATCCAAACCCAG